TGGTTCTGTCAGTGCTGATTGGTTCTGTCAGTGCTGATTGGTTCTGTTGGTTCTATTGGTTCTGTCAGTGCTGATTGGTTCTGTCAGTGCTGATTGGTTCTGTTGGTTCTGTTGGTTCTATTGGTTCTGTTAACATTTGCCATGCCATGATTGGCTGCCTGTGAACTCCACCAGATGTTTATTTGTCGTATCACACGTCATATTTTCTAATTTCTTGTCAACTTTAACATTTTGAACAGAAACATGGTGGGCTGTCAAAGCGGCCCTACCAGCAGGTTTAACTGGTTTTCTGGGGGGAACCCTGCACTGCCATCATTCCTCATCACCAGCTGTGATTGACAGGTCACATGACGCCCAACCAGTAATATTTCAATGGTCAGGTCATGTGTACGTCAGGCTGCTGCTCTTTGGTAAACAGGGAGGTGAAAAGAAAAGGTCAACAAGATCAAGACAAACATCAAAAGTTGTCATATTGACATTTAGAACTGGGAAGAACTGGAGACCTGGAGAAAACCAGTCCATGAAGGCCAGTACTGCAGTCTCTCACAGCTACAGCAGACCAATGGTAGGATAGAACCATCCAACACCAACCACTGACTCACCATGTACACACTCACACACCTGAAGACCCACAAGCACCAAGATGGAGGACGTCACACTCAACTTTGAGTGTGTGTGTGTGTGTTTGTGTGCATGCGTACATACTCACCCTGTAGCGGTGGTCTTTGTGTACACTTCCCTGGAAACACTGCATACACAGAACACATGTGGAGTCGGCTGCACACTCCCTGAACACACAGACACACACAGACACATATATATATATATATAAAGATATAGATATGTGTGATTTATACAGGAATGAAATTAATTTTTATATACTCATATTCATGTAATTAATGATTTGGCCGATTAATCGAAAAAATGACAAATTAATCAATTATTAAGATAATCGTTAGTTGCAGCCCTAGTTACCACACTTTGGACATGGTTGTGTACTTGTGTGTGTCATGACTTCTTAACAGCAGTTGTAAAACATGATGATGCTGAAAACTGGACCGGCCCGATCACGACTAAATCTGATTCTGCCTGATTTTAAAAAAATGTCCACATCTGCCACCGATACTGAGTGTGTGATCGGGACATCCCTATCTATGGGCCTCATGTAAGAACATGTTGGTGTTCTTCTCCTAAATTTTGTTCGTACAAAGGGTTCGTACGAACATGTCACGTCAGATTCAACAAACTCTTCTATCTTCAGGAAAAGTGTGTAAATGAGCTGCGTAAATTCACCTGTTCTATCCAGCTGCTCGTGCACGCGAGAGGAGATTAGCATAATTACCTCCCCAAAAACACCATATAAGGCTGTGTTTCCTGCCTCAGATATCAGGAAGTGTCCATTCATGAAAATGACAGTGAAAACTAAAAAGAAGAACTTTACGAGTTCAGAGATTGAAGTCCGTCTGTCAGAGATCCAGAAAAGAAAATCTGTCATTTTTAGCAGGTCAGCTGTGGAATAAAAAGAGCTGCTAAAAGTATAAACAACTGTGTTAAATCATTTTCATTTATTCAGAAGACACAGCGCTGCGCCCAATGAGTTGCTTTGTTTCTTCAACAGCCATGAAACACACATCCTGTGGAGGAGATGATGTCCGTCTGTGTGGAAGGCTCTAATCACTGGCATCAAGCAGAGGAAACACCTGAGGAGACTGCAGGATCTAGTAAAACATGGTGAAGAAGCGTGGAGTGGACCCATCATGTCTACTGTTCCAGCCTGTGGGGCAGAGCTGGGATCTGGGCTCAGCTCTATGAAGTTTAATGAAACAAAGACCACAGAGAACGTGTGAAGCTTTGGTCCAGGCTGTGTGTGTCGTACAAAGTGTGTGACTCTCTGCAGTGTGACAGGGCAGTAGGCTGTTTAACAAGCTAATGCAGTCAGATTTAAGTCTGGTCAACTGTACACTCTGTATTTGTACTACAGTAATATTTAGATGAAGTAAGGCTCAGCTACATGAATCAGCCTGAGTGTGATGAGTTACCTGCAGGAGTAGGTGGGCTCTCCCACCTTGAACACATGACCACACAGCAGTGACGGGTGCTTGTCTTCCTGCAGTCGAGCAAAGCCAGTAGCTGGCTCCTCCCCCACCAGGAGCCACTCCAGGGGGGCGAGCAGGAGGAGCTGACAGGCCAGCTCCTCCCTCTGTTCCTCCCTCTGCTCCTCCCTGCAGCTGCCACCACTCGGACCCAAACAGAAGACCTTTGGTACGTAGACTGAGAGGTGGTGGTACAGGTCCTGCTGCAGGTGGTCTGCTTGCAGCCAGCACTGAGGAGGAACAGAACCAGTCGGTCAGTGTGCTCTGATGTCTCATTATCTAATAAAAACACTTTCATTCAGGGAACTAATCTGCTTCATCCATGCAGAAAACACAACCGTGATTAATGTAAACAAAGTTCAGACAGTCCTGACACACGACTGCAGGTTCACAGGTCAGGGTCAGAGTCTACGACGATGATGAGTCCCTGTGGTTCAGAACAACTGCATCATGTGAGGAACGGGTCTGAAAAACCCTCACCAACATTTGACACTTTGCAACCAGGGTTATTATAGTTTTAGTTTACTGAAATAAATAAAATCTAACTACAACTGAATAACCTTCTCACTAAACCAAGTCAAACTAAATGAATTATAGACAGAATAACCTCAGTTTCAGTGTTTGTCAGTTGATTTTAAGCCGTGTGGACTGATTAAACCTAGCAGTTTCACATCAGCTGTGAGCCTCTAACAGCACCTCATGGCCGGTGACATCATTTGTTTACAGGTTTCTGCAAACAAAAATTAGGAGAAAGCAGCAAAGTTCAATTTGAGATTTTTTTGAATGACTGAGTAAAATGAAAGCAGGTGTGTTGTAGTGGAAACAGGTGATAAAACAGGTGGAATAGTTCTGAAGGGACGAGCTGTGAGGACCTTGAAACGCCCTCCCAGTAGCTCCCAGTAAAAACAAGCACCAGCCCAGCAGGCAGCACCAGGTCAGAGACAACCAGCAGCACCTTCCTACAATGATACACAACGTCCTTTGTTGGCTGAATGGAGTTACAGGATTATTTTACAAACATGTTGCTATAATGGACTGTTTTCAAAAAATTCACATCATGATATACATTATGATGGCTGGTGGTAATGATATATATCATGATATAAACTTTTAATAGAAAATAAATCACATACTTGTTTTATAAAAACATACATTTACTGACTCACCTGCATTTATGTTAATAAATTTACACACACATGAATATTTAATTGCCTAACTACATCCTAGTTAAGGACTCGTCATGATAATTATCAATAAAATGATTATTGATAATAAGTGATCAGAACTGTGTTCAGACTGAAGAACGCACTATGTTCAGAC